GTGTGTGTGTGTGTGTGTGTGTGTGTGTGTGTGTGTGTGTGTGTGGGTGAGAGAGAGACACAGATAGGGTTTTGGGATGGGCGGGGGATTCATTCTACGCACGTGATCTCAGCTGACCCAGTTCAGAAACTACATGAGACTTGTGTCTGTTTGTGTTCAGGCTGCAGCAAAAAAAAAAAGAAAAAAAGAAGAAAAAAAAAGAGGCTTGTTTGTTCAGACGTCCCCCCCGGACCACCTCCCCTCAGCCAGGAGCTTTAAGAAAGTTTGAAATCTTAACAGCAGCGCAGTGTCTCTCTCTCTCACAAACACACACACGCATGCACAAAACTAAAATAAGACTTGCTCAGCCTAGATCCTTGTCCTGACACAGAAAGGTGGAGGGAGCAGGTGGACTAGACTCATGCTCTCTTAAAATAACAAACAAATGAAAAAAAAGAGCCTGTTTCTGATTTGCATCACACCCAAAAAAAAAAGAACACACCCGCAAACCCATAAAAGACTCGAGTGATAACAGCTATTCCAGGCACAATGAGAAGTATGCGAGAAATGTCTGTGTTGGGATGGATGTGGGCGGTAACCGTTCGGTTGGGAATGCCAAACTGGGCCGGCTGGGTTAATTAGTTTTGACTGGTGGTTGTCAGCTGGCAAGTGGTATGCCTACAGAAGTATGCCAACCTTAAACAGATTTAAAGGAGAAAAAAAGGAATTATCTTGGATAGGAAAGATAAAACATCTGTTAAACTAATAGAGTAGCACTTTTAGGCTCAGACTCAGTGAATTGATCTTGAATAGTAAAAGAGAAATAAGAAAAATTGGTCCACTTGCAGCCCCAGATCATCTAAGATCTACCTAATGTAAAAATATTAATCTACCAGGTCCTAGTCCTTTCAATCAGACTGCCATTAGATAAATAAACGTTCTTCAATGGAATCTAGATGAGACCTACTTAAAATATAATAAACAGAATTATAAAAGAAAAAGAAAAAATTGGACAATGTAATGTATTCAATTTTCATTTGCTAACTTAAACTTATGTAACTATTACGTTTACCACGACTGTCACGCTTCTTCAAAATAATCAAAGTCAATAGATTCATCGCTTCGAATGAGCCAATTCTGTCCAGCGATTTCTCAACGTCCATCAATATAAATGTGCCTGCTCTCCTGCACGCACCTCCAACTCGATTCCACCATCCTAGGTTTTAAACCTGCCATCTATCTAGACCTATCCCAGTGCAAGCATGTCCCAGAAAGTCTAACATGAAATGAAGAAAGAGATTTTAAAAAATGGTATGGTTTCAAAAGCAAAACTTGGTAACATCTGCCTTACTGTTAACTGAAAATGTTAAGTCTTGGGTAGATGGTTAACAGGCACAGTTGTGGACATTACGCCTCTAACTCACTGGGACGGGCGCCATTTCCCTAAAACGAAAGAAGAATACAACTGGCGTTACGCAACAAGATGGCCCTGACCACTAAGTGTTGGGTTGCGATGAAAAGTCTCTTCCTATATGAGCTGGTTTGGTTTAACGTGCCAAACCGTGGGCTAAAACATCACTTGGGGCAGAAAACCCGGAGCCCTCCTCAGTCTCTGAGTAGGTATGCCGAGAGGGTGGAGTCCCCTGTGGTGTGCACGCCGGCTGGACGACGATTGCCCTTCTCACATCTGGGCGTTTGTTGTGCTTTGAGCAAAGCCTGCTAGGGAAGCCCTGTCAGACGCCGCCACACCTCTCCAGAGAAGCCCATGGCTGCAAAACAACGCGTGCTCGGCTAAAGATTGGAAAAACAGCTTCTGCAGAGTGGGAGAACGACACGCTCCGCTCATTACGCTCTCCCCTCCAACCAGTCTTTCCATTGTTAAGATGCGAAGGCCCCATCTGGGAGGCAGAGGTTTTTACAATGGACACGTGACTTGTGCTGCAAAAATGTTGGCTTAGAGAGCTTGACAGAAATCGGGCAGCCATAAAAAGGTGTGAAGAGGGATTACTCGCATGATTCCAAAGGTTCTTTATGGTTCCCAAGAGAAAAAGCTGCGTTTTGCTGCTAAGAAAAACTGTGTCTTTATGGCTTTGCACCTCTGATTTTTTTCGGCGATCTTGTACTCAAATTTAACAACAAGACATAATCTGCTGACATGGATCATCAAATGCAAGAAACAGCAAAAAATACGAAAAGGAAAAGCAGGAAGTAAAAGCAAATACAGTGACATTAGAGCTCCACTACACACAAACACAGCCTCACAGGTACACAGATTTGGTGAGATTTTGCAGGTAAGGTTTATCATGTTAATTACCCATTTCACTTTCAAGCACAAAGTGACACAGTCTAGACTGAATGGCAAATTATAAAATTAAAAATAAATCCAAGATGACATATGCCCATGACAGACAGAAAAAAAAAGTAAACACGGTAAGCATGGACGTATGAATATTCCTAACCTGCAAAATGATTCCTCCATATAATATCAGCGATAGTCATTGGGGGGCCACCGGCAGGGTGTGGTTTACCTTTGTCGTGGTCAGTCCTTATCATATCCATTAAGGAATTCTCCAAAGAGTGCAAGCTAAAAGCATCGAAGGGCCGATTCCGGTCCTGAAACACACCAAGCATAAAAAAATGTTTGTTTTTTTCAGTTAAAAAAAGAATTACAAAAATAACACAGGAACAGGACCAGGTTTTGGAGGAAATAGTGGATTAATGACATACTATGATGCTGTCCAGTAGAAAGGGCCTGGAGATGTCCTGAAAGGTGGCAAGAAAAAGCAACATCTGTAATAATTCCTCGGTTGGTTGGAACCTTCCCAAGATTAATTATTTTCACTAACTAAGTACATTATATTTGGACAAAATGACAAGCAGGGATGTATTGTGACTCAAAACACTGTGCAAAAATCAGATAGAAAGTTACAAGAAAGAAGAAGAAAATAGTTCTCTGTGCAAAATGACAAACAAAATTTGTCATTGTCTCAATATCTACAACATTGTGGAAAATTTGAAAAGCAAACTGGAAAAATCCCTGCATGTAGCATATACAAGAATAAAGGTGGGATATTTTCCCAGGAATTAAATAGTTTATTCAGCTGGACAACTCCAGACCTCATTTAGCAAAATCTTAAGAAAATGGTTGGTAGTAGTTAGTAGTTCTCACACTGATAAGTCAATGTTTCAGTTCTCCACATGTTGCATGCTGCTTAGTTATGAATATTTTAACAAATAATTACCAAGACGATACAAATACTTTGTGATTTTAGCCTAGAGAACACACAGGGGCTCCTGATGAACCTGGGTATAGAGATTTAAAAAACGGTATGGTAAAAGGCCGGAGCCTATCCCAGCTGACATTGGGTCAGAGGTGGGGTACACCAGTCCATCAAAGGGTCACACAGAGACAAACAACCTAATGCAAAAACGTATGCTCCCAAGTGATATAATGAAAGACTTCATATCTAAAATGTAAGAAAACAGTGTGCTCACAGTGTGCCCACAGAGAGGTAGGAAATCGTCACATTAGAGGCTAACGATCAAACTGTTGACATATTAGCAACGGTGTAGAAACCGGCATTCATTATGCACACAAGCTGAGGATGACATACGCTGTGAAAGCTGCTTGCTGACAGGAAATCAGTTTCAACTCATCCGACAGGTTTTGCACCTGCCCTCAAGCTAGTTTAAGATAGTTTAAGCTAGGTGCCTGTGCGCCATTAGGTGTTTAGGCCTGCTTACATCCCAAACACCTTTGAGTTGACGAGGCTGGTCGGCCTCGCTCGAATCAGGAAAAGCCTCCCTAAACCGAACCGCCTTAAAGTAGGACCGTTATTGGCCTCTGATTGGAAGCGATCGGAGTGAACGGATGAGGGGGACACGTGTTGGAAAAGACAGGGCCGGATGGAGCTCCCAGGCAGAGCGGCGGGACCCTGGCGGGCAGCTGGCCCGAGCAGGGGGCCACATTGTTTTCACGCCGCAGCTATTGTTGCCCATTCGGCTGAGCATTCAAAAGCGTTATTCCCCCCACTCTGGACCCGGCAGCGCCGCTCAGATAAAAATCTGCCCACTTGGTGCAAACGGTAAACACTTCAAAAACGCTGAGCTTTTAGTTTCCTCTGCCTCTTCCCCTCCGCTCCGACACACGTGGATTTGAGCGCGGCGGGTGGGCGGCGGGGCCGGAGGGCTGCGGTCAAATAACCTGCGGAGATAACAGGCAGAGCACCCCGAGCAGACTTTGGTCTCGGAACACGTCACGGCGGCGCGTGGAGCGTGGAATGCTGCTTCATGTTGACCCATCTTGATTACAGAGCTGCTCAGCTCTCCTCGTGACACATGAACAAGATATGGCGGCATTTATGGCGGCTATCGAGATAAGGAAAAGAGTAAGCATGTCAGATAAGGCTAAATACCCATTTCAAATAAATGGTCTGCTTAGGAAGAATTAGGCCAGCCGGGTTTTTAATCCCTCCAGAGAGAACCCAAACTTTTTGATTCTTCTCAACTAAGGCCGTCATTCCCAGGTCCTACATGAAAGTCGTACGAGCACAAGAGGCCCCGCTTTCTTTTTTGAGAGCAATAACTAGCAATTATGCAAATCTACAACACCCTGTGAGAGCGAAACTAAGAATAGAGTTAAACAACATTTTAAAGGCGTGTTCGAACGATCCGTCAGGTATGAGTAAGCAGCAGCTGAGATCATACAGTAATATATTCCTCAACATCGTCCTCAAGTAACTATCATTTTTCTGACTTGTTTGTTTCTCTCTAATGATCTGTTATTCTTAAGGGTTTAAACTGAAGGTTGTCTTGCCAGGTTTCTGTAATAACTGAAACCAAAACCTTAGGCTCAGGTACAAAAAAGAAACAAACCAACAAAGACAAAAGGGGGATGGAAATCCATGGGGAAGTTTAGTAAACTTTGCTAAAGCTCCTGGTGTTTTTTTTTTTTACTGTTTGACTGAAACTGTTTGACCGTTTGACTGACACGCCCGAGTCTGCCCACCGGCCTCCCTCTGGGCTTCATCCCACGCATCAGCTGCCACCGTTTCCAGAATCAGCACATCTTCTCCCCGAGAAAGAGCTTGCGGGACGCAGGCCTGACACCGACACGATAAGATGAATTCCCCGCATTCCTGGCCCGTCCAGCCGGCAGCGGGCGAGTGCGAGCGCATACCTGAGCACATGCGGCTCGGGCGTCTCGCTTTGTGGCTCATCTGGGGGCAAGAGAAGGATAGAGAGGGAGCTCCGACCGTGACCACGAGCCCAGATGACGCCTGCTGAGCTCCGGCCCCGGCGGCGTGGCCCGAGTTTCTCTCCGGCACGCGGCCGGCTGACATGTGGCAGGCCGACCTCTCACCCTGGTGATACCTCGCCGGTAATTATGGGTGTAATTGTCAAGCAGCTGAGTGAGAGTTACAGGCAGGAGCCAAAAGAATGCTTTGAAAACACTGACGGCATGACTCGGAGAAGAGAAAGCCACTCACTAATAAACAAGGATGATGTTGTTCAGATATTTCTGAACACAAGGGATTAGCCCCAGAAAAACCAAAACAGCATTTAAGTGGAAGTGGATTTTCCTTTGCTCTCTGAATGCACGCCGCTAATACAAGGTGACATGTGGCCCCCTGACCTCAACTGGAGGCGATAACTCGGGCTGTAATCCGGCCAAGGGAACATCAACAGATGCTCCCGAAACATAAGCAATAAAGCTTAGAGCCACGCAAAGTCCTCATCTCCTCAAAAGCCTAAACGTTTCAATCCAGTTGGAATTTTTTAACCCCCGAGTCGAGCCCGCTCAGGTCAACATGTTGGCTGGGACTCTGGCCTTTTCCCTAATCGATGAGCACGCGCTTCTTTTTATGCCACTCTGTAACCTAAGAAGGCAGAAGCGGGTGCTGGTTGACTTGACATGTGGACTTGTTTGTCAGGCAACATGGCTAAACATAGGTCAAACATGTGACCGGCCATGTGATTCTGCCATTTAACGTGCTGCTCCTGTTTGTCAACTCTACCCCTAAAGCACACTTACAAAGGCGGAATTTAACACTAAAATGAATCCGAACTGGAGTGGAACTGGTTCTGTGGCTCTTTCTGAAGGTGAAACTGTGGGCCAGAGCGGGGGAATAAAAACATTTCCCTGTCAATGAGGAGAATTGGATGATAATTCGCGAATACAGCTCCTGCTACAGACCAGCATTTGGATTTTATTGTTCTTGAAAGCTCATTTCCGTATCAACGTTTAGATATTGCATGAGTATAGAGGGAAGAAAATGACAGCCATTAACTCATAAAACGTTTGGACCTTGAAGAAAATTAGCTTTTAATGGTCCTGTAGTCTTTAAGATTTAGGTACTTATAGCCTACATCTATCCGTGTCAGTTTATACATAACCAGAGCTAATAGGAAAAAGTTCAACTTTCAAAAGTTTCAAATTTCTTAAAACGTTATATTGCAATTCCTTTACCTTCCGGGTTGGACCTCCTCAAACTGTTATCGGTGAAGTTTAAACCCCGCCCACTATTAAACCTTCAACATATCAGTGGGCCTATTTGTAGCCTTCCAGCGCTAACGTAAATATTGAACGTCTTAATAATGCACAGATGGATTTCTAACGATGCGCAATGACCTCAAAAGTACATTAAGTTCAAGTATTTTACAAAAGAGGATTCACCTTCGGTGGTTAGCCGTGGACTCAGTCCTCCACAGAAACTTTAAACGTCTCATTTAAAGCGGAGTAGCTGTAAATGAATATGTTTAGACATGGCCTATGACCGAAACCCTTATGTCTTAAGTAGGCTATTGCCCTGCTCCGTCTCTGTGAAGCCTGCTCTGTCTTACGGGGGAATTCTGGTGATGATTTAGCACAGTAGCTACCGAAAAGAAGACGTCCTCCTTCACGTTGAGCGAGAGATTGAATTTTAACGGGGGGCTCCTGAACGCAACGCTTGTCTTTTTAAATCCACGTCCAATGAGCAGAATGGGGGGGCCAAGAACACTTTTTCCTTTCCAAATGCGCTGGACGAATATTTCTAAGACTACCATGGGTTTCTATGGTCGAATGCCTGAGAAAATATACGTAATCGTTGACTGACAGCTAAAAGCCTCGTTTTTAATTCGATGTATCCCAATTCACCCCCCCACCAGACATGTCAGTCAGCTGTTGACAGCACCGGCAGAAAGAAAGAAAGAAAACAAACATTGAAACGTGTTCTTTATAAATTCACGCTATCACTGAGATGTTGTGATCTGTGGGATTGAGTCTAGGTTGTCAAAAATACATTGATTTATATCAGCATGATAAAGTCCCTGTTGAGTTAAGTTCTTGCAAACTTTACTAGTGTGGGCTCAGGCCTTATTCTACCAGTAAAGCCCGTCTCAGGGGGGGACAAGCCGGGCGAAAGCGTGATTTAGAGGCTTTTTAAAGAGGTTTAGACCCCCCAACACACACCCAAATAAAAACTATTTACCTGGAAAGGCAGTATGTTGTTGCTGTTGTCAGTCCTGAACGCGCCGTCATCCATCCAAGGTTTGGGGTTGAGCTGGCCGGGTCTTGGGAATTTGGGGGGCGCGATCACGTTGCCGCTGTAGGGCTTCTTCATGGGCGAGATGGGGTTCAGGGGAGACGGGACCCCGACCCCGACGCCGACCCCGACCCCGACCCCGACGCCCACGGCCCGGCGCGGGTCCCGGCCCGCCTGCAGCCCGCTCCAGGGGTTGGAGGCCGTGCTCCAGGCGGCGTTCTGCTGGTTATTCCAAGCGGACGACGAGGACGAGGAGGGGCCCTTGCCGTTGTTTACGACGGTCTGGTAAGCGTTTCTCTGGGGGAAAGGGCCCTGGCCGGGGCTGACGGGGGATCTCCGGTGCTGGGGGGGCGGTGGCTGCTGCTGCTGCTGCTGTTGTTGTAGGGGGGCTTGCTGCTGTTGATGATGCTGCTGGGTCTGGGGAGCCAGGCCGATCTGCGGGGAGAAATTCCCCCCCCCGAACACCGGGTTGAGCTGGTGGGGGAAGTTCTGGAAGAGCATCGTCCCGTTGACGGAGGGTATTCCCTGGAAAAAGCCGTCGTCCGCGGCGTTCGCGCTTCCTCCGGTGGACCAGGCGCTCCCGAAAGAAGAGGAGGAGGAGGAAGGAGGAGGAGGAGGAGGAGAGGAGAGGGGGCCGCCGCTCTCCTGAGCGCCGTGGTGGAAGCTCAGGCCGGGCAGGATCGGCGACTCCATGGGCACTTTGTCTCTGCTGCTCAGCGCGGAAGCCGCCTGGCCGCCGCCGGCCGACGGGCTCTCCGACCCGGACGAGGAGGAAGCGGGCTCCGAGGACGGGGTCGGCGTGGAGGGAGGAGGAGGAGGGTCTGCTGCTTGCGTCGGGTCCTGCTGCTGCTGGTGGTGGTGATGAGGCTGGGCTTTGTTTTTGTCCATCAGTAAATCATCCTGCATGGTTTGCGGAGCTGCAACAGGAGGGG